CAATGAGATGAAGTCCCATGACAAAATCAGTATTTAAAATTAAGAAAACTTTTCAGCCTTTTTGCTCCACTCCCAAACCATTATAAGAAGTTCAGAAAAAGGGTTCTACGCATGCTCTGAAAAACTCATTGGATTTTAATAGCAGTTTGAGACTATGATGGAAAATACTTCTTATTTTATTGAAATATGGTAGAAATATGTAACCTTCTAGAACTCTTACAATTGGCCTTTGGGCTTAGATTTCAGAGCAATATAGCAGCTAAAATGAATGCTGAATCCCTAATGTAGTTATGCCATGGTTTGTAGCTCCTTGGTTTGTACAATAAAAACATTTTCTTCTAGGTAAAAGAAGAGAATCAGGATAATTCTTGCTGATCACTGGGCACATCTGCAAAAATAATTAGCTGTTCCAGCTCTTAAGATCAATAAAGCTTATTCCTAAAAGTAGTGACTAGAAAAGAATAAAATTTTATAGTGACAGTAAACCTTAAAGCTTCTAACCGGGTAAAGTTTTTTCTTTAGGCTTTAACTTGTGTTTTGAGCTTTTAAATATACTTTCCAAAGTAAAATGATTAACTATATAAGTCCTATGTCTCCCTCTCATGGTCATACTTCTTACCACCACACATTTCGAATGACAATTTACAATGAAATACTTTATAAGACTTAAAAAGACATAAGGCCAAAATTTCTTCCAAAAATAAAACATTTGATAAGATAGCGCCTTACCTATTTTGACCAAAATAACAACAACAAAAGTACCATTTGGCAGCTGTCAATATTTAATCAGTGGCTCACTTGTGGTGTTGGAGGCCAAGGAAAAAGCAACTTCTTTAATCTTGAGTCTCACTAGTATGTCAAATCCATGTCCAGGGTGGTCCCTGGCATGGATTTGGGAGAAATGCATTTTAGAAGGAGGTTGTGGAGGGGAAGGGGTGGGCCAGGAAAAGAGGGAAGGTAGAGAGAGAGTGAGACAGGGAAGAGAGAATGAGACAGACAGATGGCGGGGAGGGAGAGAGACAGACAGACTGACTTGGGGAGAGGGAGTAAGACAGGGATAGGAAAAGACAGGGCAGTGGAGAGGACAGGAAGAAAGACAGAGATGGGGGAGAAAGAGTCAGACACAGGGAATAAAACAGAAGTGGAGGAGTAGAAACAAAGGGGCTGGGATGGGAGGAAGGGGGGTGCTACGATCTGAATATTTGTGTCCCTTGAATTCACATGTTGAAACTTAACCACAAGGTGATGGTATTAAGAGGCGGGGCCTTTGCGGGGGTGACTAGATCTAAGGGTGGAGCCTTTGTGAATGGAATTTGCACCTTAAAAAAGAAGCTTGACGGACGCTCCAGCCCTTCCCACCACGTAAGGACAAAGCAACAAGGAACCATCCAGGAAGCCTTCACCGGACACCAAATCTACTGACGCCTTGATCTTGGACTTTCCAGCCTCCAGAGCTGTGAGCAATAAATTGCTGTGTTTTTTTTTTTTACTAAGTTAATCAGGGCTAAGAGTTTTTGTCATAGCAGCTGGAATGAACTAAGACAGTGGGGAAGGTGAGAGGTGGGAGAGATGGAGACAGAAACAGAGACAGAAGCAGAATGGGAGAGCCATGGAGAGGGATGAGGAGGGTGAAGATAGAGAAAAAGAGAAAGAGGGAGGGCGAGGGTGGGGGGAGGCAGGGAGAAAGAGAAAAGTGGGAGAGAAAGAGAGACGGACTCGTGGGGTAGAGGAAGATGAGGAAGAGGGAGAGAAAAGGGGGAGAGAGGAGAGAGTCAGGGAGACGAGGAGGGACGGAGGGAGGGAGGGCAAGGAGAGAGCGAGGCCCAGAAAGCACGTGGGACAGACACAGAGAAAGTGAGCCACATACCGGCAGCAAGTAACAGCACGTGCGAGGCAGAAAGCAAGTCAGACACTGAAGATAAGAGAGAGACAGAGGATGAGATGAAAGACAGAGACGGACGTAGGCAGGGAGCAACAAGAAGGGAGGAAGGAGACAGAGTGGTAGGGACCGAAACCATCCAATATATTTTGCTTCTTGCAAAATAGCAACTTGCTTTATATTGTAAAACAAAGAATACGTTCTGCTTGTGCGATACAGCGAGTTGGTAGGCCGGGCAGATGGTATATTTGGGCATCTGCGCAAGGTGGCTATTTTGAAATCAGCCAGTATGTGGACGGCCAGTCACTGGACATGGCTTTAGAGCTGGGTGACATTTACCATCCGCATGTCTAAATTGAATCACTTCAGAAAAATATTTCAAAAACTCCTGCAATGTTATGCGTTTCAATAATGATGCCAAGTTATAGTTAAAGAATGTAACAGGGAAAGAATAAGAAGTCCCCGCGAGAAACACAAACGGACGGGATCTATGTGTATACAACATGGCCCTCGTCCCAGGGTCGCCACCCGAGAGGAACGGCGGGGCTGCAGCAGTCGTGATGATTAAATGGTGTAGGACGTTGCCTCAAATACTGACCTTAAAGAACCATATTAGGCTGATATTGCCCGGGTGTTCTTCTTTGGTTATTTCCCAATAAGCAAATGTAAATTCCATAGCTTACCCTAAAAGGAAATTCTGCTTTTTGAGGTTTAAAAACATCATCAGAGCAGTGCAGTGAGTGAGTGTCACACCTACCATTGCAGGGAGGCAGCTGACAGGCCCTGACCGACTCGGGCTTCTCGCCGTCGCAGTGGTCTCCAGCCCTGCAGAGAACCTGCCGCACTTCCGTTCCCTCACCGCAGGTGACAGAACACTGCAGAAACAAAGGCTATGGTCACAGACCTGTATACCACCAAGACCTTGCATAGGCGTGCACACGCGCGCGCACACACACACACAGCTCTGGAGTTCCTTCTCTACTGACACTGTGCCCCACAGTGGTTTTGGAGACAAATGATCCTGAATTTGCACCCTGGTTCCATTATTTACCAGCCTGGACACACTGTTTTTTTCTCTATGAACCTCAGCTTTCCCATCTGGTAGAGAGCTGGGATAATAATACCTGCTTTATATGATTGTTGACAGACTAAACGACGGCAAAGGAAACAGTGTATGCAAAACAGTAGCAAAATGCCTGGCACCTAGTAAGCATTCCATATGAGAGGAGCCATGATTGTGATGACGTTAGTATCTGCTGTAGCGATGTCTGTTTTCAGGGAGTCCATCATGGTGTTGAGCTCCCCACTTCATCTCTCTTACAGATGGTGGAATTTACTGCGGTGCTACTTATTTAATTCAACCTCCGCACTACTATAATCTATTGAAGGGGCCTACTGTTCTAATACCAAGCCCAGAAATTTCCATGCCATTGTCCTAAGTAGGCACTCTGGAGGAAGGAATTCTCTTCTGGGACTTTGATAGGAGTTATCTTTATGGTCCTGCGTGGGTGACCTTCGTTGTGCTTTGGTTTGCCTGTCCCCTCCAAAACTCACGTTGAAATTTAACTGCCATTGTAACAGTGTTGAGAGGGACCTTTCAGAGGTGGATGTTTAAGAGGTGACTAATGGCACGGATGAATGCTGTTGTCTCTGGAGTGTTTGGTGATTGCAGGAGTTGGCTCCTGGGAAAAGAATTTTCTGTCTGTCCTCGCCATGTGATGCCTCCTGCCATAGGAGGACCCTGGCCAGACGCTGGTGCCACGCTCTTGGACTTCCCATCCTCCAGAACCATAAGCCAAATAAACTTCCGCTTTTGTAAATTACCCAGTGTGTGGTACTCTGCTACGTTAGCAGGAAACAGACTAGGACAACCTGCCCGTTCCTTCCTTTCTGAGCCTATTCTCCACTGATTCATTCTCTCTCTGCTTTTTGATGCCTTTTCCTCCTATAAACTCTTCTATGGCCACATGGCTCTTTATTTTGAGTCTTTAAAAATACTAAAGTTAGGTTGTAATACGGGCAACATTGAGTCAGCCAGTCACCAAACGAACATCATCAGGAACATCATATGGACGGGTGCCACATGCCAGGCACCAGCTGGGTACTAGGGAAGCAGGGCACACTATTTTCAAAAAATGTATGCACTAGTGGCAGTCATAGACTCAACGACTGGAGTTAGAATACTCTTCCACGAACGTCATGCTGAGGGTAAGTTGCGCTGCCTTATGGATGCAGAGGAGGAAATTCCAGGAAAGGCGCAAGCTGCAAGTTGGGAATTTGGACTATGGAGACGAGCCTTGGTGGATGAGGGGGAGATTCTCAGCTAGGAGGAGAGGGAAGGAGCTGAAAGACAGGAGGCTGAACAAGCACGGACTGCTTGAAACAGTAAGAGGTTTACTCAAACTGGGACAAAGAGTTGGAAAGAAGAAAGGACAGGAGGAGTTAGGTGGTGCCAACTGAGGCAGGGCCCTGCATTCAGTGTCACGAGTCTGGAATTCATCCTGCAGGACAAGGAAGTCAACAAAGATATTAGGGAGAGGACCAGTCACCTTTCAGAATCCTGTCGCAAAACACCCAGACATGGTGGGTCCCTCCGACTACTCATAAATGCACAAAGAAGTATTGATTTTTCCTAACACCTTCAGGTTACTGCAAAACACGCAGAAATTCTCAGTTCACGCAAAGCCTACTTTACGTCCAAGTAAAATTAAAATAAGCTACACATGCTTACACACATGCATTATGTATGCACACACAGAATCCACACACCCACCTCATTCCAGGGCCCTGTCTTCCACTGTGCGGGGCAGGGCACCCTGTTACAGGGCCGGCGGCTCTCGGGACGGTCACCCGCGCAGTACTTGCTGTGCACAGAGCGGTTGGTGCCATTCTGGAGAGGCTGAAGGCAGCGCACGGTGCGAAGCTGGTAGCCGGAAGTCCCGCAGGTTTTGGTACAGTGTTCCCACTCTTCTGCCACCCAGCTGTGGGCGCAAGGGGTTAAAATTGAACACTGTCACCGGCATGTATAATGCGGCGCAGATCAAAGCCTAGACTTCTCTGCTCTCCGAGTGACTTGTAACCCATCGGGGCACACTGCAGTTCAGGAGATAGTTCCAGAAAGGTGGATGCGCATTCAACAACTTTCTAAGAGGCCTGATGGTTCTATTTTTAATGACTTACTATTTTTTTCCCTCGCAGTGACTCTGAGACCTTCTCTTTTCCTAAAGGATGATCTACATAGGGCTTCTGAAACTCATCTTAAGGTTGCCCTGTCAGGTTCAGACATGAGGGAAGTTTCCAAGGGTAGCACGAACCCACTCTCGGCCACATTGACTCATGGTGTTACACACCTGAAAGTGAAGTGAAAAGGGAATGTCCCTGTCGCTTGCTAAGACAAACTGATCCGGCCGCTGCTGCCTTTTCATGAGACCTGTAGAATTTGCTCATGTCTCAATATTCCAGCCGAGATGACCATTTGATTTCTACAGCTGCTGCTGTGAAGGCTACCGGACACAGCTACACTGTTTGGATAGCTCAGTTCTTCTTGGCCCTAATTATTGGTCCTGACAAAGGTAGTGTGTGTATCAGGGCTGGGGAAAAACTATTCCCATGAATGCACCAGACAGAAATATTTCCAAAGAGACATTTTCAAAAAATGTTTCCCATGGGGACATTTCCCAAATTCTAGTGGCATTGTCGGTGCCCCAAGAACTCTCCAAATCAACCGTGGATACAATATTATAGACACTTCACAATTACCCAGTCCCAAAGGGCTGTCACCATTGACTCCGTTTGGTTTATTAATCTGTCAGTATGTAGTTGAGGCATACTATTTATTTTTTTTCTAAAGTTCCTTTTCCTCTGCAATTTTTTTTCTTTCCATATATATATGAGGCACCAAATTACAACTCTGATAAAATCTTGGTAGCCTTTGCTATTCACAGTTTAAGACTGCTTTAGTCCGTTAAACTGGCCGGCCATAAAATGCATTATGGTAACCGAACTGAGGAATTTTGCTCAATTTTGAAGACCTCAGTAGTGACTCTCATTTGAAGACAAACATCGTATGAGAAGTACACTTCATAGATATAGACACTTCTGATTACCTTTATTCCCTCCTGAAATCTCTGGTATGATAATAAGTGATAAAAATGTTTAAACCCACAAAGGCAAAGGAAATTGAGAGGAAGCCACAGCAGCATAATTTGGGGGCCTAGAAAACAGATGGACATGTGGCAAATAACTCAGCCAATCGAAGAAGGATGAAGTCTAAATCCCCGGTATAAGCTCGTAAACAAATTGACTTGCAGAGCAAAGCTTTAGAAATGTATAGGGGTTGGTGGCCTCAGGTAGAGGGTGGGCTGTGACAGAAAGGGTGAAGTCCAGGCTGAAAGCAGGAGAACTTAGGAAAAGTCTGTTTGGATTTGGAAGCACTTAGACCTCCTGATTTTTAACCCCAGAGGGTAATTACCCCTCTCCCACCTTAGAAGAGGACACGAGGTTTATCCTCTGTAGAATGCGGACCATACTTTTAACTGGGTACGACAGACATGATCACGAGAGAGAAGGAAACCAGAGTAAAAACAAAGAGTTATGTAAAAATTCGTATGTGAAATGGCGACCTATACACACAAAATACTGACACCAGACTCTGTACATACAAAATTCTAGACACCTATATGCACAAAATTTACAGAACAGCTATTGAAGAGAACTACACTCCCTAGGCAAGAGATTGACTCAGCTCTGTGGAATCCGATCGTTTCATAAGAAATGCCCTAAATACATAATTAATTGAAGGTCTTTCAATGGAATGGATAAGCCAGATCACCCTATAGTTAAGCCCACCAGCTAACAGGTCTCAATTATAAAGCAAACTATCAATCAGCCTTTTTAACACTGTGTGCTTTTATATGAATGAAGAGCCCCAAATCACCAGACACAGAAATCCTCTAATACAAATGAAGCGGAGAAAGGCAGGGAGGGGAGGGAGAAAAAGAAGAAAAGAACTTGAAAGAAATGATGTGGGAACAGATAATAATTTTTGATATCGTAAGAGAGAGAAAAAATAAATTGCATCTGTGAAATAAGAAACAAATGCCTCGAGAAAGGAATACTTGATGAACAAAACACAGCTCTTGAATATTCGTGATACGATAGCAAAAATGCAAGATTCAGCAAGTGGAACAACGTACAATAGGAGAGAAAAGTTGAACTACAAATGTCCCAGAAAAAAAGAATGCTGAAAAATAGAGGAAATTTTTCACAGAAAAAAATACAATAAAATCTCCCAGAGAAAAAGGATATCGGTTTCATATTTTAAAAAGTCTACAAGTGTCACTTGTGACAATATAGATGAACCTGGAGGACATTAGGCTAAGTGAAATGAACCAGACAGAGAAAGACGAATATTTAATAGCACATGGTCTCACTTACACGTGAAATCTAAAAAAGTAGAAATTACAGAAATAGAGAGTAGAAGGCGTAAGTGGGAATGGGGAGGTATTGGTCAAAGCATAAAGAAGGAATACGTTTTTGAGATCTATTGTACAACATGGTGATTATAGTTAATGATTTAATATATATTTCAAAATTGCTCAAAGATTTTAAATGTTTGTACCACAACAAAAACTATAAACATGTGATGTGATGGATAGGTTAATTAGCTTTAATCATTCCATAGTATATACATGTATTAATATCAAAACATCACATTGTACTACATAAGTATGTACAATGATTATTTTTTGATTTTAAAGAAGTCTACAAGTACACAGCACGATAGATGAGAAAAAATGAGCCCTATGGCAATTTTATCACTGTGAAATTTCAGGACACTGGGAACAAAATGAAGATCCTACAGACTGTGAAA